AGGGCAGTAGGTTTGTTTTTAAGCAAATAAACTCATATGGATCACCCAACATGATAGATAATTTTTTTAAAAAAAAGAGCAGAGCTACTTCAATTGAAGCCAAATGAGAAAGAAGTCCAGAATCCCACTGCACTTTGCCTTCATGGCAGCTCCTAGGACTGATGAACCTGTGAGAAACCCTAGAGCTCCTATGGGATACAATCCAAAAATATCACTGAATCAGAGAAAAGCTAAGGAAACAGAACCTACAGGACTTGCTAGGTGATGACTTCTAGCTTTCTGTTTTGGGAGACTGGAAAATGCTACCAATCACTAAGGTAGGGAAAGGAAGAGGAGGTGGAAAAGGACACGGTGACTTTACTTTAAACTTAACTTTAGTAGGAAAATCCATCTGATATATACAGAACTGGCCATACAGATGAGGAACTCATGATAAAGAACTGGTTGAGGGATACAGATGTGGGGGGTCACAAGCACACAAGGGCTGGAAATCGCCAGAGCAGAAATGAGTGAGTTCAAAAAGTGAGAGTTGATAGTGTGAGAGAAGGACAAAGTGCAAAATGAAATGCATCTTTTCAGCGGAAGCGTTCCCATTATGTTTTCCTGCCATGAATGCACACTGGTGTATTTCATCCGATACCATAAATATCATCTGTAGCATGGAAAATGGCAGAAGACCTATGGCTCTTATTACTCAGGCCTTTGCTCAATATAGGAGATCATTTCAAAAGGTACCAACAGATTTTTGAAGAAGAAAGACTGCATTCCTTAACTGGAGGGTTTGGGCCCTGATGAGTGAGGGTTTGGGCCCTGATGTTTTGAAGAAGAAAGACTGCATTCCTTAACTGGAGGGTTTGGGCCCTGATGAGTGACAGGAAGTATTCAATATAGATTACAAGAAACAGACTTTTACCTCCTCTCAAAAATGTCAATGTACATAAACTTTTCTCAGATATCTGCATGGCCTCCTAAATCAATGAGTTACATGTAAATAAAAGGATAATGAAGGTAGGTTGAGAAACAGCAAGCCAATACTTAACCATTTTTAGGAGAAAATTCTTATTTGTGATCTATTATTAACTATGGCACTGAATCCAAACCAAGCAATTCTCAAATTATTCAAAATTGTTTCCATGAATACTCCATTTCCAAGAAGTATTCATTTATTCAAGTGTTTAAAAACAACTAGTGTGCAATGAAATACCAGTCTGAAGTTAGTTCCACACATTTTATACCAGCTGTGCAATGAAATACCAGTCTAAAATAAGTTCCAAACATTTTATACCAGGCAGTGCTTGTTGTAGTGTGACCACTTCTTCCACTGATGTACTCTGTGGAAGAATTCTATCCTTTTCTGTCACACAATCACTTTGCTTCATAGCATAAGATTGCAA